CCGAAGCCAGTGGCAACCATGGTGGCAATGTCTATGGTGGCAACACTGGCAGTTAGCCCGAAAACAGTGGCACTTGTGACCAATAACGCAGGTGTCAGCGGAAATGCCAGTATGAGGTGCCGAAGTTAGCGACAACACTGGCAGCTAGCCCCGAAAACAGTGGCTGCCGCGACACATGCCACCGGAAGTGCCACGGTAGGTGTGGTGTCACGATTTGCGCCTGCTGTTTCTCTTTCTCCAGTGCGCTTTGGGGTAAATGGGTGATTTATAGTTTAGATTTGTTTTTCCTCTTCCCTTTATTTTTGTTTGGGACTGTGGTTGAGTTTATGGTGAATGGTTCCTATAGAAAGCATAGAGGCTTTGGGGATGTTGTGTTTGTCAGTTGGGGACAACACTGAATGTGAAAGGATGGGTGGGTACTTGTTTTTGGTTCTTTTTCTTGCTTTGTTTGTGTGCTTTTTGTTTTCTTTATGTCATTTATTATTTACACAGAAGCTGGCTAACTACAAACTGACAGGGTACACCATTGACAAGACTAATCAATGTGATTTGGACCATTTTCTCTCATCGTGTATGTAGATGTTGACTTCCACTGACTCCACCTCTACCTCTGTAAGTAATGGTTGCCATGTTAATTTTATTAGCTGGAATGTAAAAGGATTGAATCATCCAGTGAAACGGAATAAGGTGCTTTCTCATCTCTGCTGCCTTAAGGCACAAATAGCATTTCTGCAAGAAACGCACCTTAAAGATATAGATCATTCAAGGCTTAAAAGAAGTTGGATTGGGCAAATTTTTCATTCTAGTTTTAATGGTAAAGCACGAGGCGCAGCAATTCTGGTCAATAAAAATACTCCATTCATAGCGTCGGATATAAAGACTGACTCAAATGGCCGTTACGCAATTGTGACTGGGTCACTTTTTAACACTCCTATTATATTAGCAAACATATACGCCCCTAAATTCTTCAACAACTTCATTCACTCCCTTCCTCTAATTGATACTCACCAACTGATACTTGAAGGAGATATGAATACCGTCTTGGATCTTTCTTTGACCAAAAACATTTAAGAAAATAAATTTAGAATAAGCTAGTTTTAAAACTTAACATGTCTTGATTCAAATGGCCTAATTGTGGTTTTGAAATTAGTAATGTATTCTGGCTCTTTGACCTTTATTTTACCTGTAGTTACAGCAGGTGGTTTGCTAGGATCGTTTGAATTGCCTTTTGTCTGTGTGGGAAAAACAATACAGTAGAAGTTCTAGCTTTTCACACTCATCTGTGAAAAGCCGTAAACACAGCAGGGGTTCCTGGCTTCAGATAAAGATATTGTTGGTCCTACTTATTTTGCTTTATTTCAGGTAGGGGAAATATTAATTACTGTTTTGTTACCGTTTTGTTAGCGCAATAACACTTTCATGACATTATTATGATTACTATTATGACATATTTATGACATATAATGATTCTTGGTTAATGACGAGTTGTCATAACGAAGACACGTTTGTCTACATTAATGTCAAGTTGTCATAATGAAGACATTTTTGTCTAGGTTAATGACAAGTTGTCATAACAAAGGCATTTTGAATAATGTCAACTTTGTATTAAAAGTGTCATGATTTACCAAGGAGGACTTCCTCATGTTCATGACAGGTGTTGCGTCATGTTTATGACGGTGTTATGACAAAGACTGTCATAAGTGTTACCGCACTTTGAAATGCCTTGCTGCTGAAATGTGCTATACAAATAAAATTTTATTTGATTTGTATCAAAAACTACAAAAATGGCAGAACGGGTTGAAGTGGAATGCTCTGTGACCTAGAGGGGGGGCGTGAAATGTCTCATTCACATTTAAAAAGACCGCAGAAAAAGAAAACGAGGAGTCTATGGAGCTACAATAACCAGAAACTGCATTGCAGTTCTACATTATATAGATTATGAGCAAATAATTTACATGTGAAAAGGAAGGATTTAAATGCATTATATGTCCACTTTAAGCCCAACAATAATTGTTATCCTGCATTTCAAAAGCTGTTCTGACAGCTTTTGAAATGCAGTAACTGGACACATGTGGACACAGTAAGTAATCCCAGTGGCACCCTGGAAAGTGAATATGTTCAATGGTTTCTAGACAGTACTCTATCTAAAACTATCACTCTGTCTATCTCTACGAATAATGACTGAATTCTAGCATTTTAAATTAGAGCAGTCGCTAAAGATAGTTTCTTTGAATTCCTTTTGCATGAATCTATTTTCAGAAAGGTTCTTTTCCTGCATTGTACTAAAACAGCAGGACAATGCTAGACGGTTTATTAGGCCAACGAGGAGGAAGTCCTAAGGTTTTCAAGCCTGCCTGTGTGCTGGGGGCCATCTCTGGTGACAAAGAAGTCGATGATCCTGGAGGTAAAGTCGAAGGCCACTTGTGTTTTACTGTAGATCACAGTGATGCAATGTCTGTCCCCGTAGCTGGCCCGCGGCATGCCGCCACTGAACAGCAGGAACGGAGGCCTACACAAACAAGATCCAGTTCAGTTCGGTTTGCCCACTGGTTAATGTGTAACATGTCCAGGTTCAACATTTGCAAGAATTTACTGAGGACACTGTCCAACTAAATAACTGCTAAGTGTAATGAGCTCACCCTCCTGCAGTCGGAAGCTGAACTATTTTATTGATGGCCTTGCAAGGAAAATGTCCTGGAACAAGAAAAT